AAATCTTTATCTGAGAAAAAAATTGTTAAAAATCAAGTTATTGTTGGCTTAAAGAAGGGTCGAGCCTATAATAAAATTCTTCTAATTGTCAATGGTTTATTGAAGGTGTTTTAAGCTATTTCACGTTTATAAATACGATTTTCCTGAATTTTGCCTAAAATTGTTTAATAAACCTAAAATAAGTTTTTATAAATACAGCCGATAGGCTTTAATTATAGACAAAACCGATTCAAATCGGAAAGATAGATTAGAAAATATACGATGTAAAAAATCCTAAAAATTATGAACTTTGAACCTGGATAAAAATAGTAAAGTAAATAACAAAATAGTTAATTCTAAGAAAAAATTAAAAACACTAATAGCGCTGAATTAAGTTTTACCCTAAAATTTCGCAAACTTTTCAAACCTCAATTACAGCATAATTCTCAACGTAACAATTTGCAAATCCGATTTTCAAATGAGAGAAGTACATTAAGTAAATGCAATGTGTTTTTCAACAACAAGACCAGTGGTTTTTTAATGTAAATTCTGTAAAATTGAACTTCTGCCTTTTTGATTACCTGCAAACATCAACAGGCATATACTCAGAAGAAGATTTTCGGTTCTGCATAATATTTTCGAAGCCTCAATTACTACATCAGCGTTTTGCAACCATATTGCCTTCAAAGAATTTTAGCACTGGGCTTAAATCTGTTTCGTACATTTCATGCCTCTTATAGTAACATAAGGTTGGTTTAAGGTTTTCAATATGCTGAAAGGGTTGAAATATACATTTTGCATACAGAAAGCATAGGTACATGAAAAAATACTTAAATATACTACTACTTACAAAAACGAAGACTATTAGTAATTTAATATAAAAATATTACCTGTAATTTTTACATTTAAAATTATTTTTCAAATCATTATCTCTATTCCAGCCCCACCCCCAACCAGTCGGTGGTCCTTTAAAACAATTTCGCTCAATTTATATTTTAATCGATAACAATAGAAGGAAGTGTTCATTAAATTAGCATAAAAATACGACAAATTAAATGCCAATTAATCATTTTGTGACACCTTAATTTGTGCAGAAAAACACATGCTGTGGAACCCTCTTCAAACACACCAGATATTTTAAACAATCAATCGCAGTGGTATTGTTGTCACCCAACCACAATTATTCATTTTCAATGCGAATATTTAAATACGTCATTGTTAAGGTATGCCATAACCACCCATTGCTATTTTTCCTGGTGGGTACTCATTGATTAATTAATAAAATGATTTTTTGTTCTGGAACAAAAAAATAACATAAATGAAAATTAATTTTAAAAATTATTTCATAAACTTATTTTGAAATGATTGTTTATTAAATTATCGTAATTGAAGTCCTTATTCAAGCACTTTCAATTGAATTTTTTATGGAAAAATTGATTTGCAACACCTTAAAAAGATATCAAAAATAGGTGCTATTTTCAGCAATAGAATATTTCCCTAGTATAAATATATATTATTAAGTAAGGGGTTCAAATACCAAAATTTATGCACACAATAGCATTTTCAGGTCATTAATGTAACACGGAAGCAAGTACTTACCACAAGTACTCAAACACAAAAAAAGCACGACCAAGCGCTTTTTTTGTGTTTTGTGCATGCAAAAAATTCGAATTTTTTTAATTAATTTTCTGAGGTGGTGTCGGATTTTTGCTCATATCTCCGTTATTTAAGACGGATATTGCAGATTTTCAATAGGATACTTCTCGAGATATCCGGGGTCGGAGCTTCACGGCGTCAATTAGATAGTTAGGTAGTTAGATAGTTAGTTAGTTAGTTAGTTAGTTAGTTAGTTAGTTAGTTAGTTAGTAGTTAGTTAGTTAGTTAGTTAGTTAGTTAGTTAGTTAGTTAGTTAGTTAGTTAGTTAGTTAGTTAGTTAGTTAGTTAGTTAGTTAGTTAGTTAGTTAGTTAGTTAGTTAGTTAGTTAGTTAGTTAGTTAGTTAGTTAGTTAGTTAGTAGTTAGTTAGTTAGTTAGTTAGTTAGTTAGTTAGTTAGTTAGTTAGTTAGTTAGTTAGTTAGTTAGTTAGTTAGTTAGTTAGTTAGTTAGTTAGTTAGTTAGTTAGTTAGTTAGTTAGTTAGTAGTTAGTTAGTTAGTTAGTTAGTTAGTTAGTTAGTTAGTTAGTTAGTTAGTTAGTTAGTTAGTTAGTTAGTTAGTTAGTAGTAGTTAGTTAGTTAGTTAGTTAGTTAGTTAGTTAGTTAGTTAGTTAGTTAGTTAGTTAGTTAGTTAGTTAGTTAGTTAGTTAGTTAGTTAGTTAGTAGTTAGTTAGTTAGTTAGTTAGTTAGTTAGTTAGTTAGTTAGTTAGTTAGTTAGTTAGTTAGTTAGTTAGTTAGTTAGTTAGTTAGTTAGTTAGTTAGTTAGTTAGTTAGTTAGTTAGTTAGTTAGTTAGTTAGTTAGTTAGTTAGTTAGTTAGTTAGTTAGTTAGTTAGTTAGTTAGTTAGTTAGTTAGTTAGTTAGTTAGTTAGTTAGTTAGTTAGTTAGTTAGTTAGTTAGTTAGTTAGTTAGTTAGTTAGTTAGTTAGTAGTTAGTTAGTTAGTAGTTAGTTAGTTAGTTAGTTAGTTAGTTAGTTAGTTAGTTAGTTAGTTAGTTAGTTAGTTAGTTAGTTAGTAGTTAGTTAGTTAGTTAGTTAGTTAGTTAGTTAGTTAGTTAGTTAGTTAGTTAGTTAGTTAGTTAGTTAGTTAGTTAGTTAGTTAGTTAGTTAGTTAGTTAGTTAGTTAGTTAGTTAGTTAGTTAGTTAGTTAGTTAGTTAGTTAGTTAGTAGTTAGTTAGTTAGTTAGTTAGTTAGTTAGTTAGTTAGTTAGTTAGTTAGTTAGTTAGTTAGTTAGTTAGTTAGTTAGTTAGTTAGTTAGTTAGTTAGTTAGTTAGTTAGTTAGTTAGTTAGTTAGTTAGTTAGTTAGTTAGTTAGTTAGTTAGTTAGTTAGTTAGTTAGTTGTTATTAATTTTTATTAATTTTTTTAAATCAACATAAAAATTAATAGACGTATTCCAAGCAAAGAAAGTACGGAAATGAACTAAATGTCCTTTTACTAAAGTTTTATCTGCTTTAGTTAGCACACTTTTTACATCATAAAATTTTGAAGGGACATTTTTTACACTTTTTAAAGCATTTTTTCCCTTTTTTTTCAATTAAGTAAAATACAAACAGTAATGGACCTCAAGAATGATGCTGATAGGTTGCTTAACACTTGACAGTTCATTGTTGTATGTGTTAATGGGAGAAATTCCTTAACCAAGTTAAGAAAGTAAATTCCATACCATTGTTATTACTGCATATTAACGGCAATTGACTTATCTAGCCAGTCATCTACTTTATATTAAGGGGAGGAAAAAAAGAAAATAAATTGAAATATTTTTAAAGTTATTTTGAAGATGACAGAATTTAAATATTTTTTGTTAAATATTTATGAATTTAATAAGTACAGATACTAAGGAAAATTTATTTAAAGTTTTGTATTCTTTAAAATAGTTTTTGCATATTCATAAAGCATATTGACTTGTCATTTTCAATAAAAATTTCTTTACACTTGTATGCCTTTATGAAAAATCCTTTACAATATGTTAAATTCTTACTTAGTAGAAATGGTAAAAAAACCTACACCCCATCAGGATTTAAAAACAACATAGCAAAAAACTATATTGCTTAGAAAAAAGAAAACCAACAACTGAACTGTAAATAGGACCCAAAGTGAGACAACAATAATACCCTTATAAACATGTCAATCATGTGAGTATTGAGTAGGATTTAATGACATCTCTCATTTCGTACCATTAACACATGTTTCGTTGGCCTTTTTTTGTTTTTTGCTGGTTATTTTATAGTTTTGGTCCTTATTTTTTGTGCTGTGTTGTAAAAATGGTAGCTATTGGGGGTTTGGGAAATAAAAATGTCAATAGTTTATTTTCAAATAAATGTTTATGAATATTTCTGTTTTGCATGTTGGTTCATTTCATTGTCAAAGGTCCTGGCAAAAACAATGTTGTAGTTTTTTTTTTGTAAAATGTGTGTAAATAAGCAAATCATTTGTTTTAAGTAAAAGGTCCTTTGTTATTTTTGTTTTCTTTTTGTATACTTTGTAATATTAAAGGGTTAAATTTCTATAAGTTAAATAAATAATTTCAACATTTATTTTGTTAAACACGATTTTGTTTTTAAATAATAATTGAAAGAACTTAAAGGGCAGACAGCATTAATGCTTTTAAGAAATTTATAACTAAAAGCTAAATTTATAACTAAACCCCCTTTCCTTCCAGCGATTCTAAACCATACACTATTTATGGTACTTTTGCTTGTACGGTACACTTTGGTTCCCGTATTCATTTAAAAACTACTCCACCCATCACTGATAACTGCTCTTATTAATTTTTACTTTTAAAATTAATATTTTAAGAGAGTTTTGCTCTCTCGTTTTTTATTTATTATTTGATAAATTATTAAAAGAGTTGCCATACTATTTATATGGTACTGGGGGTTGGTAAATGAACTGTTCCTCATAAAATTTGATGGATTAATTTAGATGAAGTCATTTTCTGAAAGGGGCTTTGTATGGGCCGGATCATTACAAAATTCCACAAGGTCTTCAAGGTTAGTATAAAACTTAGTTCTTTACTTTATCGAGATACAAGTATCATTATGAACTCAAAAGCCCTATTCGGGGGGTGAGGTTGTAAGGGGACTTGGTAAAATAATAGATCGAATTTAGCTATTTGCAATAAGCTTTGCCCTTGTTAAGAAACCATTTCATTTTACATGGACGGACGATCAGACAGACAAACAGACTGACAGACAGACAGAGAGACAGATAGACAGGAAAACAGACGGACGGACTAAATCAACTCAGAAAATTATTGGTATCACAAACCCACTATACACTTCCCACTAAAGTGGTGTATGATATAAAAATATGGCAACCCTGTTTTGATTATCTTTCGTGTTAAAATCTGTTTTGCCTTATTTTGATAGAATCAGTATTAGTCCAGAAGTGTTTAAATACGGTTATAACTTTTGTTCTTATTTAAAAAAATTTATGAGTAGTACATAACTAGATTTTATTATTTACTACAATAAATCTATAATCAATTGAATTGGTAACAAAATGCAATCTTTGGAACCTATAAATGTGAGTCTCAATTTTATTTCAACAAAGTTAAACAAAAACACTTACTAGCAAGATAAGAAAAAGTCTAAAGAGTATGGTGTAGAGAAAGAGATAAGTATTGAGAGTAGTACTCTCCGCATAACAACAAAATATTTACTCTTAAAAACATATACATATTTTGGCTTCTGATCAAGCTACATAAAATCTCCATACACACTACATGTAAAGAAAATAATGGTATAATAATTTCAATTTTAATATTTCTTCTATTTTTTAAATTCGCAGTACAGCGAAATAAGCATTAAGGTTCCCTGGGGCCATATAAGTGGTCGCTGGTATGGTGATCAAATGGAAAGACCTATCTTAGCCCTACATGGTTGGCTAGATAGTTGTGGAACATTTGCAAAGTTAGCTTCTCTTATTGCTCCATATCGTAGTATATTATGCATAGACTTACCTGGACATGGTCATTCCTCACATTTACCAGTTGGCATGCTCTATCATAATATAGAATTCGTGCGAGTTATTCTACGCATAATGCAGACCTACAAATGGAAAACTGTTAGTTTAATGGGTCATTCTATGGGCGGTTCTGTATGCTTTCATTTTGCTGCCTTCTATCCGGATCGTGTTGATATGGTCATAAGTTTGGATATAATCAAAAACTATTACTGGGAACCACACATATTTCCCACCGTAATAAGACATTCCATTGAAAAGGCTTTAGTTGACAATGAACGCCTACAAAAAGATAATCCCTCAGAGCCTCCTAGTTACTCCTTTGCAGAATGTGAACAACTGCTATATGAAGGTTCTTTGGAATCGGTAGAATTGGAAAATTGTAAATATATATTGGAGCGTAATATACAAAAATCGGAATTATATCCAGATAAATTCTATTTTTCACGTGATGGCCGTATGAAATATTTAAGTGAAATGAATCCCAATTGGGGTTTAAGTCTCGAAATGGCTAAACGAATTTGTGATCATTTTATGCCTTATTTGGTAATAAAAGGTGGTGAATCAAGAAATATCAGTGCTAAAGCTACACAATTAGACGAGTTTATGGTTAAGAATAATAAAAATTTTGAATGTCATATTTATCCAATGGGTACACATCATTTGCATTTGAATAATCCCAAACCGGTGGCACAATTGATAATACAATTTTTGCATAAATATGAAGAAAATTATTCGAAATTGGAAAAATCGAAACTTTAATTAATTTAAATTAAAGTTAATTTTATATATTAAACTTAATTTTATATATTAAACTTAGTAAAGTTGGGGTAATGTGTATTTTTTTTATAATATTTTTTTATAATATTTTATAATATTTTTGCAATATTAAAAAAATAAAAAACATATAAATTTTAATACTAGGTGAGTACATTGTCTGAGTAAGATTAACTAAGAAATTAATCTTTTATATTTGTTTCTCTTTTGTTTCTTTTAAATGTGTTTATCTCTTTTTATTTTTATTAGTATTCAATAAAAATACCTGATTAACCACATATGATTTCGTTTTTTGACACTCTCTTAATTAAGAGACAAAATATTTGTTCTCTTAAAAATGTACATTATCTAATTGAAATATTTTAGTTAAGATAAGTAAGAATGCTATATTCGGTTATGCCGAATCTTATATACCCTCCACTTTTAAGCTACTTCTTATAAAAGGTCCATCTAAATATTTTTAGATATTTAGGAAATTGTAAACGTTTAAATTTTGCTTCCGTAATTCGGGTACTATAATTTTGATGAGGTTAATAAATTTGTTATGGACCGATCAGATTCTATGAGAGCTATGACCTATTATGGACAGATCTGAAAAAATTCGGAAAATGATTTGTATATACACAAAACATATTCGTGTCGCATTTTATGCCGATAGCTGTATTTAACAAAGAAATATGTGCATTTAAGTGATTTTCAAAAGTTGACCTTATATGGGAGAAAGTTATAACTTTCTAAAGGTGGCTTTATCTATGAGGGATAGGTTCAATTATGGACCGATCCTCATAAAATTTTGTAGAACGATTTTTGTTCATATAAAACTAGTTTATGTTGAAATTCATCGCTGTTCTGTATTTTTAAGCCAGTAATTTGGGTTAAAGTAATTTTCTGAAGTGGACCTTGTACGAAAGGTAGGTCAATTACTCACCGATCCCCATAATATTTTGTAGACCGATTTTGGTTAATACACAACTTGCTCAAATCGAATTTTAGCATTATTATGCCAGTAATTAGCCTTAAAGTAATTTTCTGAAGAGGGTCAGATATGAACAGATCCTCATAAAATTTGGTAGACCGATTCTGGTTTATATACATCTTGTTTATGTCGAATTTATTGGCTCTACTCATATTTTTAATCCAGTAATGAGCGTTAAATTAATTTTCTGAAGGAGTACTGATATGGGAGATAAGTTCAATTATGAACCGATCCTCATAAAATCTAGTACACAGATTTTGGGTCTTATACAACTAATTTGTGTCGAATTTCGCCGCTATATTCGTACTTTTAAAACAATAATGTATGCTTAAACTGTATTCCGGGAGGGGCTAGGTAAAAACATTTACCGATATTGCCCATTTTCAATACCAACTGAACTGCAGCAATAGATATTTGTGCAAAATTTCAGCTCCATAGTTCTTTCCATTCGGACTCTATCGTGCTTTCAACAGACAGACAGACGGACGGACGGACATGGCTAGATCGTCTAAGAATTTAATAAGGATCCAGAATATATATAATTTGGATCTATATGACGTTTTTTATGGTGAGTATAAAAATACGCATGTAGAATTATATTAGGATATCCTTATATGACTTATTTATGACTGATCCGGAAAGATTTATATACACACAAAACTCTCAAGTCGAATTTTTTTCACAAAATGTGTTTCAGAAGTTGACCTTATGTGGGCGGTGTTACCAATTACACAGTGAGACAAAATAAACGAAAATTGAAATACCTGGAAAGTGACACTATTTTTCTGAAAGATGGATCCGAGTTGATAAAGAATCTGTTTTTGAAATTTGCGAAACACCTCACTAGTCTCCATATAAAACCTTCTTCAGAAAATTAAACGATTGTGCCCATTTTCTGAATGCACACATATTTCTCCAGGAAATAAAGGCCTCAGCTTCTGCTTCCTAAGTCCGTTGAGAACCTTTAAATCAGTTCAGATTGAACTAAGTTAAATACTTATATGTGCATAAAGGTACGAAAACCCTTATTTATGAGGTGTTTGGCAAAATTTCAAAAACAGATTCTAGTTGTAATCGGATCCACCTTTTACAGAAATAGTAACACTTTCCAGGTATTTATTTTTATCGCTTAGTATTATTTACCGATTGAAAAAAAAAATTAGCATGATGATGCACATGGATTGACAAACTTATATGCTATACTCTCTATTGTCATTGATAGTGGAGGAGGGTATTAAATATTTGGATCAACCGATTTTGTTTATTTTCTATGAGTATTTAATTTTGCAACAACAACAAATCTGGTTATGGGAGAAATAATTATTTATTTCAAGAGAAATTTTTCTTAAAAGAGACGGTCATTGGTTAAATAGAAAGATAAATATAAACACAACGTTGCCAACTAAGTGTTTTAACAAACCTTTTAAGTGCTTTTTTTATAAGCACTTAAAGAAAGTGTTAATTTTTAACGGAAAAAATATAAAAACCGCTTAGAGTGAAATTTCCATCCGTATGTCTTACGTTATAAGACCACTTTACCACTATAATTCCGATACTGACTATTATTTTATAACACATTTATATAAGGTGGTGTTTGCTTAGATCTGGAGTAAAAGTTTGACAATATTTTAAAAATCTGGCAAGCTTTTTCTTAACTTATCTCTTATTTACGAGAAATTAAAGATTTAAAGATTAATTATTATTTCTTTAGAATTTTGTCTAAAGGTAACAAATGGCTCTATTATTAGTTATATTAAATATAATTCGGCAAAAACATGTCTAAGAAAACAGTTTTGCACCACTTTTATAGCGAAGAATAGTGGAAAAGATTAAAATCCATTTAAAATAATAATTCTACAAGAAATGAGCTCAAAAATTAAGGTAAATGATCTAAACTTACAAGAAAATAACAAAATTATTACTTTTATTTTAATTTTCAGTACGAAGAATTACAAATTCCGCTACGTACAGGCTACATAGCTGCTTGCTGGTATGGTAATCGTAATGAAAGACCTATTCTGGCCCTGCATGGCTGGCAAGACAACGCGGGATCATTTGCATTACTGGCTCCGAAGTTAGGTCAACATGTTGCCATTTTAGCTATAGATTTACCGGGTCATGGTAGATCTTCTCATTTTCCTGCCGGTTTAATTTACCACACCTCCGATTATGTGAGAGTAATTAAAGAAATTATGACTTATTATAAATGGTCAAAAATATCTCTTATTGGTCACTCAATGTCTTGTGCCATTATCTATCATTTTGCTGCTTTATTTCCGGAATTAGTTGATATAATTATTAGCATAGACGTTTTGCATACCAGATATTTCACCTTGGATCAACAAATAAACACTTTAAATTTTTGTATAGAAAAATTCCTCATCGATACAGAACGTAAAGTGAAAAACCAAATGCAAGGCGACGAACCTCCTAGCTACACTTTTGCAGAATTAGAAAAAATGATATATGAAGCCTCCGAAAGATCAGTGGATGTGGATAAAGCTAAATTTATATTACAACGTAATATAACATTGTCCAAAAAACAACCCCATAAATATTATTTTTCCCGAGATGGTGGTATTAAGTTCCTGCTGGAAACCTATACAGAACCAAAATTAACCGAGCTTATGGCCAAGAGAATGTGTAACATTAAATGGTTGGTTTTAAAAGCTGAACATTCGTATCACTTAAACGAGGAGCAGGCCACAACTAAGAGGATTTTACAGCTTCTTAAAGAAAATAATCCAAATTTCTTTTTTTATAAAATACCGGGAGTAAAACATCACTGCCATTTAACTGATGTGGAAAAAGTTGAGGAATATATTATGCCCTTTATAAAAAAATATCGGCCAGCGGAATATTTGAATTATGGTGGAATAAGCAAATTGTAATTATGTCTTTCATTTACATTTAATAAATGTTTCTTTTATTACATTTGTAATAATTAGTTTTAATGTGCATATGTATATGTCAACTGAACCAACTTTGAAACAGATGTTTTCCGATCGGGATGATATTTGCCAGTGTTGCCAATTTAACGTTTTCCAGTCAAATCTGAGGTTTATGATATGGCAATTGAGGGAAAAATGCGTTAAGCGGTCTTTAGTCTAGTCTATAGTCTAGTCTATAGTCTAGTCTATAGTCTAGTCTATAGTCTAGTCTATAGTCTAGTCTATAGTCTAGTCTATAGTCTAGTCTATAGTCTAGTCTATAGTCTAGTCAATAGTCTAGTCTATAGTCTAGTCTATAGTCTAGTCTATAGTCTAGTCAATAGTCTAGTCTATAGTCTAGTCTATAGTCTAGTCTATAGTCTAGTCTATAGTCTAGTCTATAGTCTAGTCTATAGTCTAGTCTATAGTCTAGTCTATAGTCTAGTCTATAGTCTAGTCTATTCTATAGTCTAGTCTATAGTCTAGTCTATAGTCTAGTCTATAGCCTGGTCTATAGTCTAGTCTATAGCCTAGTCTATAGTCTAGTCTATAGTCTAGTCTATAGTCTAGTCTATAGTCTAGTCTGTAGTATAGTCTAGTCTAGTCTATAGTCTAGTCTATAGTCTAGTCTATAGTCTAGTCTGTAGTATAGTCTAGTCTATAGTCTAGTCTATAGTCTAGTCTATAGTCTAGTCTATAGTCTAGTCTATAGTCTAGTCTATAGTCTAGTCTATAGTCTAGTCTATAGTCTAGTCTATAGTCTAGTCTATAGTCTAGCCTATAGTCTAGTCTATAGTCTAGTCTATAGTTTAGTCTATAGTCTAGCCTATAGTCTAGTCTATAGTCTAGTCTATGGTCTAGTCTATAGTCTGGTCTATAGTCTAGTCTATAGTCTAGTCTATAGTCTAGTCTATAGTCTAGTCTATAGTCTAGTCTATAGTTTAGTCTATAGTCTAGTCTACAGTCTAGTCTATAGTCTAGTCTATAGTCTAATCTATAGTCTAGTCTATAGTCTAATCTATAGTCTAGTCTATAGTCTAATCTATAGTCTAGTCTATAGTCTAGTCTATAGTCTAGTCTATAGTCTGGTCTATAGTCTAGTCTATAGTCTAGTCTATAGTCTAGTCTATAGTCTAGTCTATAGTCTAGTCTATAGTCTAGTCTAGTCTATAGTCTAGTCTATAGTCTAGTCTATAGTCTAGTCTATAGTCTAGTCTATAGTCTAGTCTATAGTCTAGTCTATAGTCTAGTCTATAGTCTAGTCTATAGTCTAGTATAGTCTAGTCTATAGTCTAGTCTATAGTCTAGTCTATAGTCTAGTCTATAGTCTAGTCTATAGTCTAGTCTATAGTCTAGTCTATAGTCTAGTCTATAGTCTAGTCTATAGTCTAGTCTATAGTCTAGTCTATAGTCTAGTCTATAGTCTAGTCTATAGTCTAGTCTATAGTCTAGTCTATAGTCTAGTCTATAGTCTAGTCTATAGTCTAGTCTATAGTCTAGTCTATAGTCTAGTCTATAGTCTAGTCTATAGTCTAGTCTATAGTCTAGTCTATAGTCTAGTCTATAGTCTAGTCTATAGTCTAGTCTATAGTCTAGTCTATAGTCTAGTCTATAGTCTAGTCTATAGTCTAGTCTATAGTCTAGTCTATAGTCTAGTCTATAGTCTAGTCTATAGTCTAGTCTATAGTCTAGTCTATAGTCTAGTCTATAGTCTAGTCTATAGTCTAGTCTATAGTCTAGTCTATAGTCTAGTCTATAGTCTAGTCTATAGTCTAGTCTATAGTCTAGTCTATAGTCTAGTCTATAGTCTAGTCTATAGTCTAGTCTATAGTCTAGTCTATAGTCTAGTCTATAGTCTAGTCTATAGTCTATAGTCTAGTCTATAGTCTAGTCTATAGTCTAGTCTATAGTCTAATCTATAGTCTAGTCTATAGTCTAGTCAATAGTCTAGTCTATAGTCTAGTCTATAGTCTAGTCTATAGTCTAGTCTATAGTCTAGTCTATAGTCTAGTCTATAGTCTAGTCTATAGTCTAGTCTATAGTCTAGTCTATAGTCTAGTCTATAGTCTAGTCTATAGTCTAGTCTATAGTCTAGTCTATAGTCTAGTCTATAGTCTAGTCTATAGTCTAGTCTATAGTCTAGTCTATAGTCTAGTCTATAGTCTAGTCTATAGTCTAGTCTATAGTCTAGTCTATAGTCTAGTCTATAGTCTAGTCTATAGTCTAGTCTATAGTCTAGTCTATAGTCTAGTCTATAGTCTAGGTCTATAGTCTAGTCTATAGTCTAGTCTATAGTCTAGTCTATAGTCTAGTCTATAGTCTAGTCTATAGTCTAGTCTATAGTCTAGTCTATAGTCTAGTCTATAGTCTAGTCTATAGTCTAGTCTATAGTCTAGTCTATAGTCTAGTCTATAGTCTAGTCTATAGTCTAGTCTATAGTCTAGTCTATAGTCTAGTCTATAGTCTAGTCTATAGTCTAGTCTATAGTCTAGTCTATAGTCTAGTCTATAGTCTAGTCTATAGTCTGGTCTATAGTCTAGTCTATAGTCTAGTCTATAGTCTAGTCTATAGTCTAGTCTATAGTCTAGTCTATAGTTTAGTCTATAGTCTAGTCTACAGTCTAGTCTATAGTCTAGTCTATAGTCTAATCTATAGTCTAGTCTATAGTCTAATCTATAGTCTAGTCTATAGTCTAATCTATAGTCTAGTCTATAGTCTAGTCTATAGTCTAGTCTATAGTCTGGTCTATAGTCTAGTCTATAGTCTAGTCTATAGTCTAGTCTATAGTCTAGTCTATAGTCTAGTCTATAGTCTAGTCTAGTCTATAGTCTAGTCTATAGTCTAGTCTATAGTCTAGTCTATAGTCTAGTCTATAGTCTAGTCTATAGTCTAGTCTATAGTCTAGTCTATAGTCTAGTCTATAGTCTAGTCTATAGTCTAGTCTATAGTCTAGTCTATAGTCTAGTCTATAGTCTAGTCTATAGTCTAGTCTATAGTCTAGTCTATAGTCTAGTCTATAGTCTAGTCTATAGTCTAGTCTATAGTCTAGTCTATAGTCTAGTCTATAGTCTAGTCTATAGTCTAGTCTATAGTCTAGTCTATAGTCTAGTCTATAGTCTAGTCTATAGTCTAGTCTATAGTCTAGTCTATAGTCTAGTCTATAGTCTAGTCTAGTAGTCTATAGTCTAGTATAGTCTAGTCTAGTATAGTCTATCGTCTAGTCTATAGTCTAGTCTATAGTCTAGTCTATAGTCTAGTCTATAGTCTAGTCTATAGTCTAGTCTATAGTCTAGTCTATAGTCTAGTCTATAGTCTAGTCTATAGTCTAGTCTAGTCTAGTCTATAGTCTAGTCTATAGTCTAGTCTATAGTCTAGTCTATAGTTAGTCTATAGTCTAGTCTATAGTCTAGTCTATAGTCTAGTCTATAGTCTAGTCTATAGTCTAGTCTATAGTCTAGTCTATAGTCTAGTCTATAGTCTAGTCTATAGTCTATCTATAGTCTAGTCTATAGTCTAGTCAATAGTCTAGTCTATAGTCTAGTCTATAGTCTAGTCTATAGTCTAGTCTATAGTCTAGTCTATAGTCTAGTCTATAGTCTAGTCTCTATAGTCTAGTCTATAGTCTAGTCTATAGTCTAGTCTATAGTCTAGTCTATAGTCTAGTCTATAGTCTAGTCTATAGTCTAGTCTATAGTCTAGTCTATAGTCTAGTCTATAGTCTAGTCTATAGTCTAGTCTATAGTCTAGTCTATAGTCTAGTCTATAGTCTAGTCTATAGTCTAGTCTACAGTCTAGTATAGTCTAGTCTATAGTCTAGTCTATAGTAGTCTATAGTCTAGTCTATAGTCTAGTCTATAGTCTAGTCTATAGTCTAGTCTATAGTCTAGTCTAGTCTAGTCTATATAGTCTAGTCTAGTATAGTCTAGTCTAGTCTAGTCTATAGTCTAGTCTAGTCTACAGTCTAGCCTGTAGTCTAGTCTATAGTCTAGTCTATAGTATAGTCTATAGTCTAGTCTATAGTCTAGCCTGTAGTCTAGCCTAGTCTAGTCTATAGTCTAGTCTATAGTCCAGTCTATAATCTAGTCTATAGTCTAGTCAACAGTATAGTCTATAAAAACTAGTTTATAGTCTAGTCTATAGTCTTGTCTGTTTTATTTGGTCCAATCTGATAAATTATTAAATAACACCTCGTTGATAATCACCTTAAAATTTCCTTAATCCCATTTTGTTTTTGACTAAAAAATTTTTGTCTGAATTTATCCGCAATATTCTTTTAAAAAGAACTACAAAAATATGCCAACAACAACATTTATTTAAGTTTAACTTTTGTCTGTTTCTCATTTCAAAACTAATAAAAAAGCTTCTAAAACAAAAGATTGATTGTCTCTATGGGTATTTTTCTAGAATTGATGGAATGTTTTTTTTTGCCATTCTTTAAAACTATGTTCTCCTATTTATATATTGTATTTTATTCTACAATTTTTGAACAGATTTGTACAAAATTGTTGCTATTTTGTTTAATAACATTGATCCTTGAACATGAACTGGTTGTTGATAAGAATGAAAAATAGTTAAAGTTTTTATTCTATGTTTCTTTTTGTCTGTTTGTTTGTAGTTTTGAAATTGAATAGAGGAATTCATCAATCAAACTGTGTGTCTGTGTATATTTGTTTTTTTTTTCACTTCCTTCTTTTAAAAATCTCTAATAAAATTCAAAAACTATTCATACTGACACACATTCAATTAGTTATTGGTATTAACAAAATACGTTTGTTTGAAGAAAAACAATTTTTTTGGTGAAAAGTTGAAACCACGCAACTAATATGTTTTTAAACAAAAACAAGTTAGAGTGCTATATTCGGCTGAGCCGAATCTTAAATACCCTCCACCAGCAACTTTTGTATTAAAACATTACTAATTAATAAAATATTTGTAGAAATAAGTTTTCTCATGTCATAAATAGAAAAAACCCAAGATTTAAACATCTTAAATCTACTACAATTCCAAGATTTAT